GTATCGCGGACAAGGGCACGAGCACCCCACACCCGGAAGCGCGACGCATCGCCAACCTCCCCCGTCCAACGCAGTGTGGGCGAGGTCTCCGGCAAGGAGACACGGGGCCAGAGGTTGAGCTGATGCGCGGCGTACCGGACAGCAAACGGCCACAGAAAATGGGGAGCCGCCGCGTGGACCAAGGAGGTACGAGCGACCTCCATGACCAGGCCAATGCGGCGCTCAGCAACCCCATTCTGCTGTGGGGAGTCCGGAAGCGTGAAGGTCTGCTCGATGCCCTCCGCCTGACAGAAGGTCCTCAAGAGATCGGAGGAAAACTCACCACCTCTGTCAGAGTGCAGACGCAGGACAGGAAGATCCGTCCGGAAACGGCGGCGGAGCTGGAGACGAACCGTGCGGATCCAAGGGATCAGAACAGCAGGGACCTCACCCTTGGTGCGCAAGGGGAAGACCGTGGTGTAACGCGAGTAGTCGTCGACAACCAGCAAAAAGTACCGCTCACCGCCCTGACCACGAACGCGGGCTGGGCCCCACACGTCCAGGTGGAGGGTCTCCAGAGGAGCCTCTGTCGGGGGGAACGAGGAGGAGTGAGGAGCGGCGCGCTGCCGCCCCTCGACGCAAGGAAGGCAAGGCGGCGCAGGTGAGGCAGGGAGGGGAGGGAGGGACCTGGGAAGACCGGACACAAGGAGGCGACGGTGCATGCCACGAAGGCGTGGCAAGGAGGGGTGACCCAGGCGGTGGTGCCAGAGAAGAGTCTGGTGCGACAGGGAACGACACTCACAGGCGTGGGCCACCAGACCTGACGCAGACACCTGACCGACAGCAGCTACCTGGGGAGACGCAGTGGTCAGTGTGTAGAGACTCGACCCCGGCCGACGGGTGAACGTAGCCAGGTGACGGCCAGTCCTGGAGCACGTGCAGATCGCCACACGCTGTCCGCCAGGGGTAAAGGTGTCAACCCACTGATCCTGGAGGACAGCGTTGCTCACCAGGTTCGTCGAGAACGAGGGGAGGTGGAAACCCGACAACGAGCCAGACGGAACCGCCGGACAAGGGAGGACAGTGGTGGACTGGGCAAGGACTGGGCCCCCAGAGGGGTCAGCCAAGGAGACTGGGACCGGTGCAGGAAGCGGTGTGAGCTCAGTACTGTCACGAAAGAAGCAACGGGAAGCACCTGAGTCAAGGGTGAAGGTGTGACAGGCCTCAGCCGGTGCGGTACCTGAGAGAGGAGTCTGTGTGGGTGCTGTACCTGAGAGAGCAGACTCGAAACCAGCCGGGACAGCACTGGGGGGGGCAAGTACAGGGGGCACCATACCAGAGAGAGCAGACTCACTAGTACCCAGGGCAGCGGGCTCTATACCTGGGTCAGGCGGCACACACAAGTAACAGTCTCCCTCGGCACTAACAGTCAATGCATACATGGCAGCAATAATAGCATCATAGTCAAGAGCAAAGACATCAACACCAGCCCTCATGAGCTCAGCCCAGCGGGGGCGCTCAACATCCGCACCCATCTCCTCACGCCAAGCGTCGTCAAGGCGGGAGAAGCAGCGGTACGGGGTGTGGAACCTCCCACACGTCTGTCCCTTGCGGTCACCTGTGCGAATGACATAAGAACAGCGGGCACTGGCCCCCGACGTCCCACGCTGAGCAAGCCACTCACGAAGCTGCTGGGTCGTCTGGGGACGCTGCTGCTGCTGGGAGCTCTGGCCCGAGCCAGTGCCTCCACTCCGACCTCCGCCGCCACCACTACCACCGCTCCGACCGCCACCGCCACCACCGCCACCACCGCCACCGCCGCCACCGCCGCCGCCGCCACTACTGCCACTGCTTCCTCCGCCGCCCCCGTCTCCACCACCGACCCCACTCCCACCAGCGCTCCCGCCACCGCTCCCTCCAGCACCGCCTCCCCCCCCACCTCCCCCACCTCCTCCCCCCCCAGCGCCACCACCACCACTTTTGCCCCCCTTGCCCTTGCCGGTGCGGCGCCTCCCACCAGGAGTAGAAGCAGCGCCAACAGACTCAGCACCAAGGAAGTCAACAGCAGCAGCAGCAGCGTAGGAGGGAGCGAGGGGAGAGGGAGAACACCCCTCAAAGATGGGGGTGCGAGGAGCGCCACGAGCAGCACCGACAGCTACAATGCTCTTTTCGGCCGCGAGCAGGTGCTCCTCTAGGAGGGCGACTGTGAGCTCAGTGGGACAGCGAGCAAGGAAGTGGTCTCGAACTGAGCGGAGGGTGTCAGGGAGACGGGTGACTATGAAGTGGAGTGTCCAGTACAGTGGAGGGGGGTTCTTAGCGCAGAACTCGGTGGGAAGGGCGGCACGCAGGCGAGCATCACTAGTGCGAAGGTGGGTGATAAGATCGGCGACTGTAGTAAAGGTGGACAGATCGGGGAACAGGTACGGCAGCATGAGGCGGCTAAGCTCGGCTGTGGCAGGCGAGGAGTAGCGAGCGACGACAGCGTCGTACAGGGCCTTAGCGGATTTGCAGTCGCCAAAATGCTCTAGCTCAGCTAACGGCAGGTGACTGCGAATGGCTAGGCGAGCAGCTGCGTCACGAGTCTGCCAGTGGGAACGAACACTAAGCTCAGCTGTGGCAGGAGGGGCAGGCGCAGCACCAGACGCGTAATCATAGAGCGACACATGCTCCTTGCTATCGCTCAGGAGGAACAGCTGCAGGTCATCTAGCCAAGCGGTGAACCGCACAGGGCGGCCCTCAGCATCGAACGACAGCACGCGAATGGAAGCCATAGCGACAGTGTGACAGAGTAACGCAAGCTGCCGCAGCAGGGGAAGGCGACTGTGCACGGATAGAGAGCAGCGGGCGAGGCTGGCGCTACGGGCAGGCGGCGCTGCAAGCGGTCAGCGCGACGGGAGGGCGACGCTGCGAGCGGGCAGCGCGGCGGACGGGCCGGGAAGCGGGCAGCGCGGCGGGCAGGCGGCGCTGCAAGCGGGCAGCACGGCGGGCGGGCGACGCTGCGAGGCGGGCGGGCCGCGAAGCGGGCAGCGGGCGGGCGGGCGGGCTGCGAAGCGGGCAGCGGGGCGAGCGGGCTGCGATGCGGGCGGGCCGCGAAGTGGGCAGCTAGCGGGCGGGCGGGCTGCGAAGTGGGCGGGCCGCGAAGCGGGCAGCGGGGCGAGCGGGCTGCGAGGCGGGCGGGCCGCGAAGCGGGCAGCGAGCGGGCGGGCGGGCTGCGAAGTGGGCGGGCCGCGAAGCGGGCAGCGAGCGAGCGGGCTGCGAAGCGGGCGGGCCGCGAAGCGGGCAGCGAGCGAGCGGGCTGCGAAGCGGGCGGGCCGCGAAGCGGGCAGCGAGCGGGCGGGCGGGCTGCGTAGTGAGCGGGCCGCGAAGCGGGCAGCGAGCGGGCGGGCGGGCTGCGAGCGGGCGGCTCGGCGAGGGGCGCGCGAGGGCGCTAGTGAGGGGCGCGCGAGGGCGCTAGCAAGGGGCGCGCGAGGGCGCTAACGAAGGGGCGCGCGAGGGCGCTAACGAGGGTGCGCGCGAGGGCGCTAACGAGGGGCGCGCGAGGGCGCTAACGTGGGCGCACGAGGGCGCTACGAGGCTAGGGCACGGGGTAGCGTGGTAACCGCATGCGAGCGGTGGTGGGCCCTTAAAAAAAAACGGTCGGTAGGTCCTAGGGACCTCCTGCTCTGAATACCATTTCAGAATCACTAGGCAAGAATGATGAACTAGCAGAAGTTTGGGTACAAATATGAAACCCTAGTTGGGGTTGTACCCCATATTGGCTACCCCACTACAGCCTACAAGCATAATACAGTTTAACAGACGCGTGACTGTAGGGTGCTCAGCGCGATACCGGTCAGACTCAGGGTCCGGAACGGCAGGCAAAGAGGACGCAGGAGGAGACGGTAGAGGGACACGCCGAGGAGCAGTGGAGGGACGCAGAGTCATGTAGTGAGTGCCTGGGACAGGAGGAGGACGCTCACGACGGACACGACTACCAGTGCGAGCAGGACGAACAGGCGACGCAGGACGAGACTCAGGCTCACGACGCTCTGTAAGACCTCCTGTGGGACCAGCGTAAGGAGAGGGAGCAGGGAGAGGCGAGGCAGGCGGTAACTGTGACTGCGGCTGGACAGGCGGAGGACACTCTACGGAGGGAGGAGGACAAGGAGGAGGAGCCTGCCCAAGAACCTGCTGAAGGAGCGGTACGAAGTACGGTCGCGGCCGCGCAGCGCCTCCAGAAGCAGAAGAGACTCCAGCGGCCGGGTCCTCAGGACCAGCAGGAGCTCCAACGTCCGGGTCCCCAGCACCAGCAGCAGCGCCACCGCTCGGGTCCTCAGCTCCAGCAGCAGCTCCACCAGGCGGGTCCGCAGCACCAGCAGCAGCGCCACCCCCAGAGTCGGCAGCTCCAACTCCGCTAGCACCGCCAGCGCCAGAGTCCCCAGCTCCAGCAGCTCCAGTCGCAGTGCTCCCAGAACAACCAGTCCCGGCAGCTCCAGTACCCCCAGTACGAGCACCCCCAGGACGAGCAGCCCCAGCACCCCCAACTCCAGCCGAGCCACTAGGACGGCGAAAGCGCCGGACGTACCAGTCACGAAGCTGCTGCGGTGTGAGAGACTGCTCAGCACCCCGAACCGGAGCACCCCCAGACGCAGTAACCCGAGGCTCCGTAGGCTCAGTAGCAGCACCCCCAGGCTCAGTACCCGCAGGCTCAGTACCCGCAGGCTCAGCACCCCCAGTCGCAGCACCCCCAGGCGGCAAACTCTCAGGCACAGTACCCTCAGCTCCAGCACCCGCAGTCCCAGCACTCCCAGGCCCCGCACCCGCAGGCTCAGCACCCCCAGGCTCAGCACCCCCAGGCTCCGTACTCTCAGGCACCGTACCCTCAGCTCCAGCACCCTCAGTCCCAGCACCCGCAGCCCCAGCACCCCCAGGCCCAGCACCCCCAGGCTCAGCACCCCCAGGCTCAGCACTCCCAGCAGCACCACCCGCAGCAGCACCTGAGTCACCTGTGACCTCGACAGGCTCAGCGACGGGAGGAGGGTCTACCTGAGAGACACCTGAAGGAGCAGGACCCTGAGGGGGAAGGGGGTCTACCGGAGGGGGACCAGGAGCAAGGAAAAGCGGCGGGGGAGGGAGGGGGGCAGTGCGGTAGGGGAAGAGACGGTAAAAAGGGACCGACTCGTCAAAGGTGACATCCTGAGAGGCGAAGACCCGGCGCGAGGTGGGGTGGTAAAACTGCCAGCCAGGCGCGTCAGGGACAAAGCCAAGGAAGACACAGGGAAGCGTGCGGGAGGAGAGCTTGTCCGCGGACGTATCGCGGACAAGGGCACGAGCACCCCACACCCGGAAGCGCGACGCATCGCCAACCTCCCCCGTCCAACGCAGTGTGGGCGAGGTCTCCGGCAAGGAGACACGGGGCCAGAGGTTGAGCTGATGCGCGGCGTACCGGACAGCAAACGGCCACAGAAAATGGGGAGCCGCCGCGTGGACCAAGGAGGTACGAGCGACCTCCATGACAAGGCCAATGCGGCGCTCAGCAACCCCATTCTGCTGTGGGGAGTCCGGAAGCGTGAAGGTCTGCTCGATGCCCTCCGCCTGACAGAAGGTCCTCAAGAGATCGGAGGAAAACTCACCACCTCTGTCAGAGTGCAGACGCAGGACAGGAAGATCCGTCCGGAAACGGCGGCGGAGCTGGAGACGAACCGTGCGGATCCAAGGGATCAGAACAGCAGGGACCTCACCCTTGGTGCGCAAGGGGAAGACCGTGGTGTAACGCGAGTAGTCGTCGACAACCAGCAAAAAGTACCGCTCACCGCCCTGACCACGAACGCGGGCTGGGCCCCACACGTCCAGGTGGAGGGTCTGCAGAGGAGCCTCTGTCGGGGGGAACGAGGAGGAGTGAGGAGCGGCGCGCTGCCGCCCCTCGACGCAAGGAAGGCAAGGCGGCGCAGGCGAGGCAGGGAGGGGAGGGAGGGACCTGGGAAGACCAGACACAAGGTGGCGACGGTGCATGCCACGAAGGCGTGGCAAGGAGGGGTGACCCAGGCGGTGGTGCCAGAGAAGAGTCTGGTGCGACAGGGAACGACACTCACAGGCGTGGGCTACCAGACCTGACGCAGACACCTGACCGACAGCAGCGACCTGAGGAGACGCAGTGGTCAGTGTGTAGAGACTCGACCCCGGCCGACGGGTAAACGTAGCCAGGTGACGGCCGGTCCTGGAGCACGTGCAGATCGCCACACGCTGTCCTCCAGGGGTAAAGGTGTCAACCCACTGATCCTGGAGGACAGCGTTGCTCACCAGGTTCGTCGAGAACGAGGGGAGGTGGAAACCCGACAACGAGCCAGACGGAACCGCCGGACAAGGGAGGACAGTGGTGGACTGGGCAAGGACTGGGCCCCCAGAGGGGTCAGCCAAGGAGACTGGGACCGGTGCAGGAAGCGGTGTGAGCTCAGTACTGTCACGAAAGAAGCAACGGGAAGCACCTGAGTCAAGGGTGAAGGTGTGACAGGCCTCAGCCGGTGCGGTACCTGAGAGAGCAGTCTCTGTGGGTGCTGTACCTGAGAGAGCAGACTCGAAACCAGCCGGGACAGCACTGGAGGGAGCAAGTACAGGGGGCACCATACCAGAGAGAGCAGACTCACTAGTACCCAGGGCAGCGGGCTCTATACCTGGGTCAGGCGGCACACACAAGTAACAGTCTCCCTCGGCACTAACAGTCAATGCATACATGGCAGCAATAATAGCATCATAGTCAAGAGCAAAGACATCAACACCAGCCCTCATGAGCTCAGCCCAGCGGGGGCGCTCAACATCCGCACCCATCTCCTCACGCCAAGCGTCGTCAAGGCGGGAGAAGCAGCGGTACGGGGTGTGGAACCTCCCACACGTCTGTCCCTTGCGGTCACCTGTGCGAATGACATAAGAACAGCGGCCACTGCCCCCCGACGTCCCACGCTGAGCAAGCCACTCACGAAGCTGCTGGGTCGTCTGGGGACGCTGCTGCTGCTGGGAGCTCTGGCCCGAGCCAGTGCCTCCACTCCGACCTCCGCCGCCACCACTACCACCGCTCCGACCGCCACCGCCACCACCGCCACCACCGCCACCACCGCCACCGCCGCCACCGCCGCCGCCGCCACTACTGCCACTGCTTCCTCCGCCGCCCCCGCCTCCACCACCGACCCCACTCCCACCAGCGCTCCCGCCACCGCTCCCTCCAGCACCGCCTCCCCCCCCACCTCCCCCACCTCCTCCCCCCCCAGCGCCACCACCACCACCCTTGCCCCCCTTGCCCTTGCCGGTGCGGCGCCTCCCACCAGGAGCAGAAGCAGCGCCAACAGACTCAGCACCAAGGAAGTCAACAGCAGCAGCAGCAGCGTAGGAGGGAGCGAGGGGAGAGGGAGAACACCCCTCAAAGATGGGGGTGCGAGGAGCGCCACGAGCAGCACCGACAGCTACAATGCTCTTTTCGGCCGCAAGCAGCTGCTCCTCTAGGAGGGCGACTGTGAGCTCAGTGGGACAGCGAGCAAGGAAGTGGTCTCGAACTGAGCGGAGGGTGTCAGGGAGACGGGTGACTATGAAGTGGAGTGTCCAGTACAGTGGAGGGGGTTCTTAGCGCAGAACTCGGTGGGAAGGGCGGCACGCAGGCGAGCATCACTAGTGCGAAGGTGGGTGATAAGATCGGCGACTGTAGTAAAGGTGGACAGATCGGGGAACAGGTACGGCAGCATGAGGCGGCTAAGCTCGGCTGTGGCAGGCGAGGAGTAGCGAGCAACGACAGCATCGTACAGGGCCTTAGCGGATTTGCAGTCGCCAAAATGCTCGAGCTCAGCTAGCGGCAGGTGACTGCGAATGGCTAGGCGAGCAGCAGCGTCACGAGTCTGCCAGTGGGAACGAACACTAAGCTCGGCTGTGGCAGCAGGAGCAGCGGCAGCACCAGACGCGTAGTCATAGAGGGAGATGTGGTCCGTGCTATTGCTCATAAGATACAACTGCAGGTCGTCGAGCCAGGAAGTGAACTGCACGGGACGGCCCTCAGCATCGAAGGAAAGAACGCGAATAGAGGCCATAGCTCAGGCGTGAGGGCACAGCAGAGCAGCGGCAGCAGCAGAGGGGACGCGCTAGAGCGAAGCTAGCAGCCACAGCAGGAGCAAGCGGCGGTGCACAGGCAGGGAGCAGCAGGCGAGAAGCGCGGCGGGCGGGCTGCGAAGCGGGCAGCGGGGCGGGCGGGCGACGCAGCAAGCGGGCAGTGAGGCAGCGGGCGACGCTGCGAAGCAGGTAGCGGGCGGGCGGGCGGCGCTGCGAGCGGGCAGCGAAGCGGGCGGGCCGCGAAGCGGGCAGCGAGCGGGCGGGCGGGCTGCGAAGCGGGCAGCGGGGCGAGCGGGCTGCGAAGCGGGCGGGCCGCGAAGCGGGCAGCGAGCGGGCGGCGGGCTGCGAAGCGGGCGGGCCGCGAAGCGGGCAGCGAGCGAGCGGGCTGCGAAGCGGGCGGGCCGCGAAGCGGGCAGCGAGCGGGCGGGCGGGCTGCGAAGCGGGCAGCGGGCGAGCGGGCTGCGAAGCGGGCGGGCCGCGAAGCGGGCAGCGAGCGGGCGGGCGGGCTGCGAAGCGGGCGGGCCGCGAAGCGGGCAGCGAGCGGGCGGGCGGGCTGCGAAGCGGGCAGCGGGACGAGCGGGCTGCGAGCGGGCGGCTCGGCGGGCGGGCGACACTGCGAGGGGCGCGCGAGGGCGCTAGTGAGGGGCGCGCGAGGGCGCTAGCAAGGGGCGCGCGAGGGCGCTAACGAGGGGCGCGCGAGGGCGCTAACGAGGGTGCGCGCGAGGGCGCTAACGAGGGGCGCGCGAGGGCGCTAACGAGGGCGCACGAGGGCGCTACGAGGCTAGGGCACGGGGTAGCGTGGTAACCGCATGCGAGCGGTGGTGGGCCCTTAAAAAAAAAAACGGTCGGTAGGTCCTAGGGACCTCCTGCTCTGAATACCATCTCAAAATAACTAGGCAAGAATGAATGAACTAGCAGAAGTTTGGGTACAAATATGAAACCCTAGTTGGGGTTGTACCCCATATTGGCTACCCCACTACAGCCTACAAGCATAATACAGTTTAACAAAGAGCGCTTCGATAGCGCTTGTTGATGCCGCCATCAGGATCAACTCCAGTTGTGAGAGGTATTTTTGTATAACACCCCCGATGCTAGCGATGAACCTGTTTCATCAGTAACGTGTATCTCAAATCGGCACTTTTCACGACGACGGTGCCTTCGGATATTGCCATTCTCGATCCTGTTCCAGCATCTGTCACAGTGGATGCACCAGTCACCGAGCTTAAAGACGTTGGCCTTGTGAGCATATAAGTTATCAAAACTTGCGCAAGTGAGTCGTTACTAGCAAACATGAAATTCATTAGCCATTATTTTGTTTTGAATAATCATAATGTCTCATGTGGACACATAGTTATGGTAACAAACGAAAAAAAGATAGCAACACTTGCAATAGACCCTAGAGACCCTGTGCACGATAGTCGAGTTGTCTGCATTGATGGTGCAGGAGATTCCATTTGCGGAATGCCTGTTTTCACCTCCGCGGCTTCGGAGGTTCACAGATGTCGCGTCCACGGAGCGACATCAGTCCGCGCGTTTGATAACGCGGCAATGATTCTTCTTGTTCACGAGAGTGGTAAGCATCATGCGTAGCATTTCTATTTTGGTGTCTGCTATATTTTTCCACAAACTTTATATACATTGACATTGTTTTAATATATAAATATATTTCGTTTCGTTCTTAGATTCGTTCAAGACGCAGGCTCATGGTTTGGAGATTCAGCCTAAAAACTTGGGCGAACGGCAACATGCGTCGGACGCACTTCGAGGCCAGTGATATGTGAAGGTAAGTGAAGGTATGTTAGTCAATTATATCGTTAGTAAGATTTTTTTTTAGACACATCGAGCACACCGATTTAGTCAACACCCGCCAAAAGGAGACAAGACGTGAACACATTATTTATTGATCAACATGTACTCATAATAATAGTAGTTTGATTGATGTATATCAATATTTTTCTTATATTTGGCGATTGCCTCCAATCTTTTTGTGCAGCAATTGTGAAGCCTGTGGGCGATTTGGAACAGCGGATAAGAAGCTCACAGGGGTTTATAGAGTTAATTTATTTAGGTTAACTATCGTACATTTGAACAGATAATGAAAACGAAGAAAGACTTACGCGAACATGAGAATAGTGTGTGTGAGATAGATGAAAGGTATTAATAGGAGACTGTCTCTTAAATTTTTGTGGGTTTTTGTTGTGTTGTGTGTGTATGTGCTTTCATTCATGTGTCTGTGAGGTTTAAAAATTGGGATCAAACTATCATTTCCGAGAAGACTTTTTTCGTACCCAGAAAGTGTGTCCATTTGTATGGATTTGATAGGAAACATCAAATCCACACAGATTGACGAATTTGATGGGAATCACACAGATTGTGTTGTTTCATGTGGATGATTGATGATTCATATGCTAAGCTATTGACTTTCCTCCCATGCTAGGTAGGAGATGTGGTAGCCTAGTGTATGGGTCAACTAACTATCACGCATTTCCATTATTTTACGTATTCACGACATTGGTATAGTACATATAAGCTATACTACTCATACAACTATAGCATATACATCATATTTAAACATTATCATTCAATGTCTGGCTCACTATAGCCGTTGTTGTGCATGCATTCCAACCTCATGTATGCATGACAGAATATTACTGCGCATGCATTACAGAGTATACAGTTGCATATTTAGAATAACATCAAAGGGAAACTTAATTCATACATACGAAAAGCCCGGCCAACAAAGAAATTGGAATAAATATAATAGTACCATACCACGTGGTAGGTTCTAATGACAAGTTTATTTTTTCTCATTTTCTATATAAATAAATAGAGGACGATAATAGGTTGCTTCGCAACCAAAAACAAGAGGCGACGAAATCGTCTCACTCACTATGCTCATGAGCGACTCGCTGGGCAGCAACGCCAAAACACTAATGCTTGTCAACATCTTCCCAGCCGAAGGGAACCTGTCTAGGACACACAACTTGCTCACGTGAGTTCTTGGAGGTTGGGGTTCTCATGTGAGGGGGGGATGTACTTGGTTTCTGTGTCCCGCTTACTTCTCCCATTCCCTCCCACCCCCTCCCTTCTCGCCCTCCCGTTCCTCCTCCCCTCCTCTTCTCTCCCTTTGTGTGTGGGCAGGTAAGCGACGCGGGTTCCATCGATCACGAACGACACATCCAAGAATGTGGCTCACAAGGAGGAGCAGTGGTTCAAAGACATGATAAAGTACTGGAAGCAGAAAGCTGGTGCGAACCTGGAGGAGGAGGAGCTGGATGAGGTCAGTGAGACGAGGACTGTGGGAAGGAAGGGGCCAAGGAGTGAGGGCAGATGTGGGTCAAAGCGATACATCTTTTGGAAGGCATCAAGTCTTTGAGGATAATGGTTCTGTTGTGGAGAAACACAACTGTGGCGACGAAGACATGTAGTGAGGCTGATCATTGCTGTTATTTGTGTTAGCGAATTATGCAGTCCAGCTTAAAACCAAACTATATAATAGTGAACCTTGACCCAGGTTGAAAACGTGTATCGACAGGGCCAAGCGAGACGAAACTCGGCTGGTAGAAGACTGTTGCAAACATTCTCGTGTCTTCAGATCAAACTCATGTGATTGGTTCCCGCCATTTTTTTTTTTTTTTTTTTTTTTTTTTTTTGCGCACGTCAGGCGACGTCGCATTTCTTGTGCTACATGCGCACGACGGTTGCTTGTCGCTGGCTTTCATCTTTGGGCCCAACCTCAAGGTTCAAGCTGGGCCTGGGTTCCACATGTGCTTATTTCCAGCTTCCTTCTCATGTTGCCTAGCAAATACCATAGTAGCCAAGAGCCTACGTTTTTCTAGCCTAGTAAAGAATTAGTCGTTTGTTCATCCATGTAATACACCTGTCAGAATATTATGCTCTAGCCTGTAGTGGGGTGCTCTATAGCGAGTACAACCCTTCTAGGGTTTGCTATTTGTATCCCCATTCTTGCTAGTGCAAACCTCTCCTTTGCTTCATTCTCTCTTGCCTAGCTAGGTCAACCCTAGCTATGGCTCCTCATCGTGCTTACTATCTCGACATGCTATCAGAGCAGGACGATCCAGTTGGGTCGATCCTGTGGGTGGGCCCCACCACCTCAGTCTTCCGCTGCTCCTACTACTGTTTGTGTCGCACGCCCCGTGGCGTGCGACGGATTTTTCATCCCGCCGCGCGCTCGGGGCGTGCGGCGGTTTTCTGCCTACCGTGCGCCCCGGACGCGCGGCGGTTTCCTACCGTGGGGGACCCCCGCGCGCCCCCGATTTCCCGACCCGCTGCCCCGATTTCCCGTCGCCCGCGGCCCCCCGTTCCCGTCGCCCGCGGCCCCCCGTTCCCGTCGCCCGCGGCCCCCCCGTTCCCGTCGCCCGCGGCCCCCCCCCCCCCCGTTCCCGTCGCCCGCGGCCCCCCGTTCCCGTCGCCCGCGGCCCCCCCGTTCCCGTCACTCGCGACCCCCCGCTGCCCCTTCGCGGCGCCCTAAGGAGCCGCGCGCGGCCCCTCGCTGCCCCGTGGTGGCGTCCTGGGGGCCGCGCGCCGTCCCCCTCGCCGTCCCCCGCGCTCCTTCCCCCGTTCCGCCCGTTTTAGGGTTTGGGGGTGAGGAGTGTGGGGGTGGCGGCTATGGGGGTGTCGGTTGTGAGTTACTCCTCCTGCTCCTCCTCCTCCCTCGTCTCCCTCTGCTACAGCTGCCGCTGAGGGGGGTGGTGTGTGGGAGCCTAGGGTTTGGGGTTTAAGGGGGGTACCGTGGGAGTGGAGCTAGGGTTTGAAGCAGGGGGTGTGTGTCGAGGGGTGTGGGACTGTTGGGGGAGGTTGAGCGGAGGTTGCCGTCGTGTCGTACGCAGCGCCTGTACTCCGGGGCACTCATTCCCGGTAGCTCAGAGAGCCGGTTGCGCCGTCGCCTGTGGGTCCGTTGCTCCTGTCGCGCGTATTAGCCGCGGAGCCTGTTACTCCTGTACTCCGGGGCACTCATTCC